AGAGGGGTTCATTCAATAAGCCACATCCCTGAATCTGCAGGACCTGAGCAGGGCTGCTGAAAATGGGGTGTGTTGGAATTCATTTTGAGTTTAGACTTGGATACCATTTCCAAGATATCTCATTATGTACATGCAAGTATTCCAAAATCTCACCAAATTCTGAAATTTCAAATACTTCCAGTCCAATGCATTTTGGATAAGGAATATTCAACTGCATTGATTGGACTGTACTGTATTGACACCACCAATGCTAGTAACAGAAAGAACTAACAGAAATTATTGTAAAAATGGAATTATCTGCCACATAAGTGACTACATTTAGCTACACTTATTGATTGTTACTAATCAAACTTAATGCTACAGAAGATAAAATGATGCTCAAATTGCTCATACCAAATCATAATAAGCAGAAGGGAGAGTGAAGTGAGGTGTGGTCATATTATTACCAAAGAGGGCAAACCATTGGATGAGAGGAAAAAATGGAAGGAAAAAAAGATCAAGTTGGAGAAGGAGTGAAATTCATAATGTAGCAAATAGAATCAGATTTAAAGCAAGACAATTGACAATGATGTTGGTTTCTTCTAGGTACAGAGCTCAACGGAGATATTTCTCAGCCTCCGGAAGTTGTTGTTTATGCGGGAAAGACAGCTCGAATCCCATGTAATCATGGAATCTCCACATACAATTCCCTCTTCTGGTATGAGCAAAAGCAGGATATAGCTCCAAACTACATCATCTCTGGTTACTCTGCACCTGAGAGGAATGGTCGATTTAACATGACTATTGACAAAGGGAACACATCAACAGAGCTCTCCATCGGAGAAGTGGAGATAGAAGACGCTGGGGTCTACTACTGTGCTGTGACACACACAGTGGTAGGAAATGGGAGGGCACCTGAACAGAAACTTGCAGGGGAAATAGCTTGATGCCTGCTCTGTTGTCATTTCTCGAGGTCTTAGACCTAAGGTGCATCTACACTGTACAATTAATGCAGCTTCGCATCACGTTATTATTATTATTATTATTATTTGCTTTATTTCTATACCGCATTTTTCAGCCCGGTTAGGCGACTCAATGCGGTTTACATAATACAAGTTATCACAACAATATCATAAGCAATTAAAACACATTATACATAACAGACAAAATCAAAAACAATCATTATCATATCATAACGCCTCAATCAAATCAGAATCCGTTCTCATAATCCTTGTACCATTTCCTATGTTCAATTTTACCGTCTTCCTGTGTTCAGTTGCACTGCTTAGCCAAACGCTTGTTCGTAGAGCCAGGTCTTAACCTTCCTCCGAAACGCCAGCAACGAAGAGGCCTGTCTGATGTCTACCGGTAAGGCATTCCATAGCCGAGGGGCCACCACCGAGAAGGCCCTGTCCCTCGTCCCCGCCAACCGTGCCTGTGACGCAGGCGGGACTGAGAACAGGGCCTCCCCGGACGATCTTAATGTCCTGGTCGTTAACTGCCATGGCTTAATGCTATGAAATCCTGGGAGTTGTCACTTGGGATGAGGCACTGGGACTCTGGAACTGAGAATAATAATAACACTTTATTTATAGCCTGCCTTCTCTCCTCGAAGGGACTCAGAGAAGGCTAAAGACCTTTTAAAACGACAGCTTCTATGATTCTTCTAGAATTCCTATCCACCTCAGACATTGTAATCACCTTGAAGATAACCAGTTGTAGGAGGCTGGTCTTCTCCATTTTTTTCCTTCTAAGGAATGACTTGAGAAACTGCAAGTCTCTTCCGGTGGCATAATGGCACTCCTGAACAAAATCCAGGGAGCGGGGTGAGCTTCTGTCTGTCAGCTCAAGCTTCTCAGGGGGGGACATGAGAGAAGTCTCCCACAGGATGGTAAAACATCTGGGCATCCCCTGGGCAACGTCCTTGCAGACAACCAATTCTCTCATACCAGAAGCTCTTTTCCAGAGGCCCTTCCACACAGCCCTATATCCCAGAATATCAAGGCAGAAAATTCCACATTATCTTATTATGGACTCAGATAACCCAGTTCAAAGCAGATATAGTGGGATTTTCTGCCTCGATATTCTGGGATATAGGGCTGTGTGGAAGGGTCCCACGACAGATGGGAAGTCTTTGTCCAGCTAGAGGCCTTTTTAAATCTACATGTAAATTTAAAAAGGCAATCTGACACAGAAACACAGACAAGCACAATTATTTATTGTGAAACAGCATCCTTTTCATTTACTAAGCAATATCTACTTGTTTCCACTCGATGGCACTAAAGAGCTCCCCCCTCCCAGTCCTGAGGACAGCTGTCATCATTCACTATTGGAGCTCAGACAACTTTACAGCTTTTTGAGGAAGATACCCAGAAAGACCTCAGTTCTTCTACCTTGCAGCTGGGAGGGAGCAACATTTGTGGAGAATGAGACTTGGAGCATTCCTAGGAAGAATTCACCCCAACTTGGATCCTTTGTGTCTGAGGAGGATGGTTTCAGCAACATGGCTACCATGCTGGAAGCATTTCTTTGGACTGCTCCTGTTATGTGAGTGATGGGTTCAATTTACAGATTTCTTAGACATTAAACATGATACATGGACAGCTTCCTGCTCAAATTTCCCTTCTGATTTCCCATTGACTAAATATCCAGAGGGGTTCATTCACTAAGCCACATCCCTGAATCTACAGGACCTGAGCAGGGCTGTAATTCATTTTGAGTTTAGGCTTGGATCCCATTTCCAAGATATCTCATTATATGCATACAGGTATTCCAAAATCTCACCAAATTCTGAAATTTCAAATACTTCAGTCCAATGCATTTTGGATAAGGAATATTCAACTGTACTGATTGAACTGTACTGTATTGACACCACCAATGCTAGAAAGAACTAACAGAAATTATTGTAAAAATTGAATTATCTGCCACATAAGTGCCTATTTAGCTACACTTATGGTTATTAATCAAACTTAATGCTACAGAAGATAAAATGATGCTCAAATTGCTCATACCAAATCATTATATTAATAAACAGAAGGGAGAGTGAAGTGAGGTGAGGGTCATATTATTGCTGAAGAGGGCAAACCATTGGATGAGAGGAAAAAATGGAAGGGAAAAAGGAACAAGTTGGAGAAAGAGTAAAACTCATAGGGTGGAAAACAGAATCAGATTTAAAGCAAGACATTTTTTCCAATTATGTTGGTTTCTTCTAGGTACAGAGCTCAACGGAGATACTTCTCAGCCTCCAGAAGTTGTTTCTGCAGGAAAGACAGCTCGGATCCCATGTAATCATGGAATCTCCACATACAATTCCCTCTTCTGGTACGAGCAAAAGCAGGATACAGCTCCGAACTACATCATCTCCGGTTACTCTGCACCTGAGAGGAATGGTCGATTTAACATGACTATTGACAAAGGGAACACATCAACAGAGCTCTCCATCGGAGAAGTGGAGATAGAAGACGCTGGGGTCTACTACTGTGCTGTGACACACACAGTAGTGGGAAATGGGAGGGCACCTGAACAGAAACTTGCAGGGGAAATAGCTTGATGCCTGCTCTGTTGTCATTTCTCGAGGTCTTAGACCTAAGGTGCCTCTACACTGTACAATTAATGCAGCTTGACACCTCTTTAACTGCCATGACTTAATGCTATGAAATCCTGGGAGTTGTCACTTGGGATGAGGCACTGGGACTCTGGAACAGAGAATAATAATAACACTTTATTTATAGCCTGCCTCCTCTTCTCGAAGGGACTCAGAGAAGGCTAAAGACCTTGTAAAACGACAGCTTCTATGATTCTTCTAGAATTCCTATCCACCTCAGACATTGTAACCACCTTGAAGGTAGCAAGTTGTAAGAGGCTGGTCTTCTCCATTTATTTTTGTCTAAGGAATGACTTGAGGACCGGCAGGACAGCTGAGTGAAAGGTCTGCGATTTGAATCCGGGGAGCATGGTGAGCTTCTGTCTGTCAGCTCCAGCTTCCCATGCAGAGACATGAGGGAGGCTTCCCACAGGATAGTAAAACATCCACTCATCCCCAGGCAAAGACCTTGCAGACAACCAATTCTCTCATACCAGAAGAGACAGGGCCCTTCCACGCAGCCCTATATCCCAGAATAACAAGGCAGAAAATCCCACATTATCTGAGTGTGGACTCAGATAACCCAGTTCAAAGCAGATTTTGTTGGATTTTCTGCCTTGATATTCTGGGATATAGGGCTGTGCTGAAAGGCTCTAACAAAACAAAATTTGGTAAAAGAGTGCCCATGAAGGACAGGCAACAATTCAAGAGAGATATTGACAAGCTGGAATGTGTCCAGAGGAGAGCGACTAAAATGATAAAAGGTCTGGAGAACAAGCCCTATGAGAAGCGGCTTAAGGAGCTGGGCATGTTTAGCCTGAAGAAGAGAAGGCTGAGAGGGGATATGATAGCCATGTATAAATATGTGAGAGGAAGCCACAGGGAGGAGGGAGCAAGCTTGTTTTCTGCTTCCCTGGAGACTAGGATGCGGAACAATGGCTTCAAACTACAAGAGAGGAGATTCCATCTGAACATGAGGAAGAACTTCCTGACTGTGAGAGCCGTTCAGCAGTGGAACTCTCTGCCCCGGAGTGTGGTGGAGGCTCCTTCTTTGGAAGCTTTTAAACAGAGGCTGGATGGCCATCTGTCAGGGGTGATTTGAATGCAATATTCCTGCTTCTTGGCAGGGGGTTGGACTGGATGGCCCATGAGGTCTCTTCCAACTCTTTGATTCTATGATTCTATGATCCACGACAGATGGGAAGTCTTTGTCTAGCTAGACTACGTGTAAATTAAAAAGGCAATCTGACACAGAAACACAGACAAGCACAATTATTTATTGTGAAACAGCATCCTTTTCATTTACTAAGCAATATCTACTTGTTTCCACTCGATGGCACTAAAGAGCTCCCCCCACCCAGTCCTGAGGACAGCTGTCATTCACTGAGCTTAGACAACTTTACAGCTTTTTGAGGAAGATACCCAGAAAGACCTCAGTTCTTCTACCTTGCAGCTGGGAGGGAGCAACATTTGTGGAGAATGAGACTTGGAGCATTCCTAGGAAGAATTCACCCCAACTTGGATCCTTTGTGTCTGAGGAGGATGGTTTCAGCAACATGGCTACCATGCTGGAAGCATTTCTTTGGACTGCTCCTGTTATGTGAGTGATGGGTTCAATTTACAGATTTCTTAGACATTAAACATGATACATGGACAGCTTCCCTGCTCAAAATTTCCTTCCTGATTTCCCATTGACTGAATATTCAGAGGGGTTCATTCACTAAGTCACATCCCTGAATCTACAGGACCTGAGCAAGGCTGGAATTCATTTTGAGTTTAGGCTTGGATCCCATTTCCAAGATATCTCATTATGTACATACAAGTATTCCAAAATCTCACCAAATTCTGAAATTTCAAATACTTCAGTCCAATGCATTTTGGATAAGGAATATTCAACTGTACTGATTGAACTGTACTGTATTGACACCACCAATGCTAGAAAGAACTAACAGAAATTATTGTAAAAATTGAATTATCTGCCACATAAGTGCCTATTTAGCTACACTTATGGTTATTAATCAAACTTAATGCTACAGAAGATAAAATGATGCTCAAATTGCTCATACCAAATCATAATAAGCAGAAAGCAGAGTGAAGTAAGGTGGGAGGCATATTATTATTTTTTCCTTTCATTGGATGACAGGAAAAAATGGAAGGGAAAAAAGAACAAGTAGGAGAAAGAGTGAAACTTATAGGGTGGAAATCAGATTTAAAGCAAGACAATTGACAATGATGTTGGTTTCTTCTAGGTACAGAGCTCAACGGAGATATTTCTCAGCCTCCGGAAGTTGTTGTTTCTGCAGGAAAGACAGCTCGGATCACATGTAATCATGGAATCTCCACATACAGTTCCCTCTTCTGGTATGAGCAAAAGCAGGATATAGCTCCAAACTATATCATCTCCGGTTACTCTGCACCTGAGAGGAATGGTCGATTTAACATGATGATTGACAAAGGGAACACATCAACAGAGCTCTCCATCGGAGAAGTGGAGATAGAAGACGCTGGGGTCTACTACTGTGCTGTGACACACACAGTAGTGGGAAATGGGAGGGCACCTGAACAGAAACTTGCAGGGGAAATAGCTTGATGCCTGCTCTGTTGTCATTTCTCGAGGTCTTAGACCTAAGGTGCCTCTACACTGTACAATTAATGCAGCTTGACACCTCTTTAATTGCCATGGCTTAAAGCTATGAAATCCTGGGAGTTGTCACTTGGGATGAGGCACTGGGACTCTGGAACAGAGAATAATAATAACACTTTATTTATAACTCGACTTCTCTCCCCGAAGGAATGACTTGAGAAACTGCAAGTCTCTTCCGGGGGCATAATGGGGTAAAAATTTGTCCCTGCAGCACTGCTGATCAAAGTCTGGGGAGTGGTGTGAGCTTCTGTTTGTCAGCTCCAGCTCCTCAAGTGATGACATGAGAGAAGTCCCCCACAGGATGATAAAACATCTGGGTGTCCCCTGGGCAATGTCCTTGCAGACAGCCAGTTCTCTCACACCAGAAGCTCTTTTCCAGGGGCCCTTCCACACAGTCTTATATCCCAGAATATCAAGGCAGAAAATTCCACATTTGAGTGTGGACTCAGATAACCCAATTCAAAGCAGATATTGTGGGATATTCTGCCTCGATATTCTGGGATATAGGGCTGTGTGCAAGGGCCTCAAGACAGATGGGAGGTCTTTGTCTCGCTAGACGCCTTTTTAAATCTATGTGTAAACTAAAAAGGCTGTCTGACACAGAAACACAGACAAGCACAATTATTTATTGTGAACCTTTAAATGGTTTCTGATTTAACAAAGCCCCAAAAGCTTCAGATTGGGGTTCGATTATTTGGTAAGATTTATTAAGAGAGGTTTCCCATTGCCTTCCTCTGCGGCTGAGAAAGCATACCTTGCCCAAGGTCACCAGCGGGTTTCCATGGCTGAGAAGGGGTTTGAACCTTGATCTCTTAGAGTTGTAGTTCAATACTCAAAATCTTATAGTATTGGCTTTATCTCTTTCTATCTCCCTAACCTCCCTCCCTGGCAATGAACAAAGAGTATACCCCAAAATATAGTGTTATTACGGTGCAATCCAGACCAATGATGGCTTGACCCTCCCACGGGCTGCATTTCCCATCCATCCCACATTCACTTCTAGATATATCATGGCCAGTTTGAAGCATTATGTTGCAGTTTTGGTCCAGGATATGGTTTTGCAATCCCCATCTTCTTTAAAAAATGAAGACGGCTGGGTCAAGTGTTGTCCTGAGACGCACCAAAGCAAGAGAAAAGGGGTTCAAGGCTGCACGTGAACCCCAGGGTTATGCAACCCCCATTCCTGGTTTAAACAATGAGAAAAGTGAGTTTCAGACACAAGTCGGCGTTGTTGAGACAGTTCTACCCATGTTGTGAACCAGGTACAAATATGACAAACTTTGCCTTCTACCTCTGCTTTGCACATCAAGGAAACCTTGGTGGCTGACCACAATATCCTTTGGTCTGCCTCTTTCCACATGATGTATTATTTACTGAGAGAAAGGAGAGAAGAAATATGTACCAAGAAGAACCAGCCAGCTGCCTTTCAGAGTATTATGTAGAGCAGATCATGCTGAACAAACATCTGGAAGCTGATCAGAACCAAATTATTTCTGGCCTCTTTTGAAATCTTTCTTGCTTCTCCTTCTTTGAGAAGCAAAAGAAAATGCCTCTGTTTTGGACTTTGATTCTGGTAATCATTTCCATTGTCTTGAGTAAGTGATTTCCTCCCTTACCTTGATGTATTTATTATTGTGTTCTAAACTGCATATTTAATCTATGGTTTACTTATTTACTTACTTAGGCGATCCCTTGTTGTCCAAGTAAGATTATCCTCCAAGGTCCTTCTGTGTCTGTATGTTTGCCCACATAGCCATGTCTGTAATGGAAACTGATGGAGTTGCAACTCTGTTGTGAATTTTAGACTGAGCTTAGGTACACGGAAGATGCCTTTCTTGGCTTCTAAACTGAGACATGCCGAGGCTCAAGTTTTCCCTTCACTCTTGTAGTATACAGAGTGAGGTCATCTACTCGGGTTAGGACTACTGTCTTTTTGGGCATTAACTCACATCTTCTAGAATTGATCTCCAAGACTGGGGACAAGAGCATCAATAAATGATGAATTCACATCTGTTTTGAGCCTGAACTTTAACTGAGCTGCTCAGGACATTGAATCCAAACTTTCAAGCTCAGGGCCCTTCCACACAGCCCTATATCCCAGAATATTAAGGCAGAAAATCCCACAATATCTGCTTTGAACTGGGTTATCTGAGTCCACACTCAGATAATGTGGGATTTCCTGCCTTGGTATTCTGGGACATAGGGCTGTGTGGAAGGGCCCTCTGTTAAATTTAAAGCTCAGAGTAAGCCCCAGAGTAGATTCGCTATCCCAGACTTCAAGAAGTCTACAGAGCTATGCATGACTAAATTGGGATCCAATTCCATCTACTCATGTTGCAGAAAGATAGATTTGAATTGAATGTTGGAAAATGTGTTAGATGTTGTAGCCCATTATTTGGAGGAAGAGGAGGTGCAGAGCTTCGAGAAGTTGGGTTTTTTTGGATCTGCAGTTGTCAAAATCTCCAAGTCAGTGTGGTCACTGACCATACTGATCAAGGAATTTGGGGTGTTGTAGTCCAAAGGAGGAACTTCCCAAGCTCCATAATAGAAGTCTCCTTTTAGACAACTTGGAAAGTCATCCATTGGAGAAGGTCAACTTATGGGTTTTCTGGATGGTGGAGAACTAGATGAGCAACAACGCTCCCATCAATTTAACTACCCACTCACTGGCACCATTATTTCCTCCACAGATGAGACTACTGGACAAACTGTTAACCAGACGGAAGGGACAATGGTGGTTACTGAAGGAGACCAAATCTCTCTCAATTGTACCTATGAATCCTCCTATCTAACATATCTGTTCTGTTACATTCAGAATCCTGGACAAGCTCCTAGGCTCTTTCTGAAGGATAGTTGGAAAGATTCTGAGAGGAATCTCGAAGGCTTCAGTGCTTCCCATGATAAAAACAAGAAAACCTTTAACATGAAGAAATCTGCAAGCCAGCTGAGTGACTCTGCTGTCTATTTTTGTGCTGTGTCAGACACATTGAGTCTGGCTTGAAGAGAAGCCAATCAAAAACATAGAATGCAGCAAACACATGTAGATGAGAGTGTTTCACAGTGCAATCCCACTCAGAAATAAATCCAGATGTGTTCAAAGTGACCTACTGTTTCTTAATTTAAAGCTTTTCTTGAACACTTTCCAATTCTCCCAAGGCTCATGCCTATTCTATTGGAGTAAAGAATTCAAATACCTCCAGGAGTGGTATTTAGGAAGCAGAAGACGGCCTAAATACCCTAAAAAAGTTTTTCTCTAATGCTGCTCTTCCAGATATTTTGGAATTAAGCTCCCATGATTCCTAACAGCTGGTAAGCTGGTTGGGATTTTTGGGAGCTGAAGTCCAAAACACCTGAAGGAGCAGAGTTTGAGAAACACAGCTCTAAAGGCACCAGAATCCACCTGTTCTTAGAAGCTAATCGGGATCAGCTCTGCCAATGAGTACTAAGTGCTGTAGGCTGTATTTGTTGCACTCTGGCCCCGAAACACCTTTTCACCCAGCCCCACACCAGAGTCCAGTAATTCTATCTAAAATGTGTGTTAAAGAAAACAGAAAAAAGACAATTCTAAAAGGGTCAGTAGAATAGGAAATACAAAATAGCAGTAATCCAAAAATGACAAGG